AGCCCAGCAGAATGTAAAATATTCATTGAATATAATGAAGATAGTTGTTCAAATAACAATTTTGATTTATTTAGGCCGTTTATTTCATAAGCAAACCAATTTTTAACATGATCGAATAGTGTAAAAAAAAGGGTGACTATAGTTCAATCCTACTAAGCCAACCTTCGGCTTCAGTAAGCCACCGGATTTCACCGGACCAAAAGCAATTTTTATATTCAAATTAACAAAAATAATTTAATAATACATAATTCTATTAATCATTATTAAAATTAAATAGAATTACTACAATGTTTTAAGCATATTAAATCAAGTAAATATCTCATTTAGCTTGCTCGTTAAAATCCATGCAATTTCGTAAGCCAACAATCCAAGCACGACAAATAGCCCGACCGATAGATCGAATTGATCGATTAGTCCTATTATTCTAGTTATGTGGTTTGGAGCAAGGGGAGACATTACTGAAAATAATTAAAAGTTGAAAAAATTGAGGTTCTTTGCATATCTCTGCTTCAACCCATAAGAAGGTGTTGTATGCTGGTAAATAGGCCTCCCCTTGCTTTTTACTCGTTGAGAAATGTTATAGTTCAATTTCTAAAACTAAATAAATCTACCCGCCGGTTATGAAGTAAAAATTTTAAAAAATAAGCGGTTTTTTGAAAAATTTTAATTTTTAAATGTTAATGACTTTAAAATTGAAAAACATGAATGAAAAACGTTTAACGAAGAAAAGAATAATTCATACAACATGATGTTATAGTTCAATTTCTAAAACTAAATAGATCTATCCGCCGATTATGAAGTAAAAATCATGGAATTATATAACTGGAAGCGCCCTACCAGCGTTTTAACATTGAAAATTTTTTTCAACGGCAAGTTACCTCTGGAAGCAAGTTTCTAAAAATTAATAATTTGTTTTAAAAGTGAAACTATCTTTTTAACAGATACGTTTAAAATTTTGTTACACATTTTGTAATATATCATATTTTTATAACTTTATAGAGGTTTTGTGGTTTTTCTAGTAAAAATTGGTTTAAAATTTGTATTTTAAACTTTTATTATAAGCTTTTATTATTTAGTTTAACTTTTAGTTGTACCGTGGAAGGAACTTGAGTCTCTTTAAACTGTTGACTATAAATAAATATTGCTGGAAAAACCACTTTGCCGTCTCCGAGATTACCCAACATCACATCATAAATATAAATCAATAATCATAATGCTTAAAATAATTAAAAAAAATAAATAAATTATTTATACATCATAAATCATAATGCTGCTCTTAATAATTGTTTCCAGGTATATAATGCTTATGTTCTGTCCAATCTATAGATTAAAATTCCATGGTTCGAAATAACTTCTATAACAATATTATTTATGATTTCATGTCCATTTAACTTCACTGTGCGTGGAGCGCGTTCTCTTCTTCGCGTGACGTTTATATTATACAGCCACTTTTTTTAACCTAAATTTTTTTAATTTAATCAAATAAATTAATAAATAAAACTAATTTAAATTATAAAATTAACGATGTCAAAAAGAAAAAGCGTTTATCGTGAACAGTTTTCAACTGACTTTCCAGGGATTAAAAACAGTAAAAAAGGTGAAAATTATGCCTTTTGCGAATATTGTTCAACTGATGTTAGTATTGCGAACGCAGGCGTTTCATCTATTAAACAACATTTTGAAAAAGAAGTTCACAAAAACAACGTGAAAATTAAAAAGTCTACTGTCGGAATATCAACATTTTTTCATAGTAATAATTTGCCCACATCTAGAAAAACTGCTGCAGCAGAAGGAGCATTTGCATATCATGTCGCTTTTCACTCGTTATCGTTTAAAGCTGCAGATTGTACAAATCGTTTAATTTCAACTGTTTTCGCTGAATCGGAAACTGGTCGGAAATTTTCATCTGCTCAAACAAAAACGCAGACAATCATTTCAAGAATATTGGCTCCGAAATCAACTGAGAATCTTTTGTCTGAATTGGGCAGCGAGCCGTTTTCTATTGCAACCGACTCGTCAAATTTTAAAGAAATCAAAACATTCCCTATCATTATTCGGTATTTTTCGCATGAAGGATTGAAAGTTGAATTGTTAGAGTTTTCAAATTTGCCAGAAGAAACGTCAGAATTGATTTTCAAATATGTAATGACTGTACTTGACAGATTCAAATTGAGCCCTAATAATTTGGTAGCGTTCAGTGCTGACAACGCTAATGTAAACTTTGGTGGAGCAAAACAGAATGGTCAAAATAACGTTTTTGCCAAATTGAAAAACATTCAATCAAAACTGATTGCCGTAGCCTGTCCAGCTCACATTCTCCATAATGCAGCTAAAAAATCCTGTGAAAAGTTTTCACTTGACATTGAATCGTTGCTGTTCAAAATCTTAAGCTATTTCAATGGATCCACGCTGCGACATGAAAAATTTAAAGAATTTTGTGAATTTATGGAAATTCAATATGCTAAATTTCCAACTCATACTCGCACACGATGGTTAAGCCTTCTTCCATTGATTGAACGAATTTTAGTTATGGGGTGGCTTAAAATCACTAGTTCTATCAACGGATGACATTCCAAAGGTTCTGGAAAATTTATTCTCTGATGATTCAAATGAAATCTACTTCTGGTTTCTACAGAGCTCATTGCAGCTGTTTCAGCAAACTTTGCTGATACTTGAAAAAAAAGACTTTGTGCTTCCTGAAATGATAGAATCTGTCGAAACTGACAAAAACTCACTGACAGGATGCAGAAAAATTTTTTTGGTGCCATGACTCAATCAAAGTTGCAATCATTAGAGGATTCTAATTTGGCTAATCGCATAGAAAAGGAGTTTTCAACATTTTATTCGACATCTGTTGATTACATTCAGAAGTGGTTCAGAATTACTGATTATCCGTCTTCTTCTAAGTGGTTAATGCTGAAATCTGTCGATACAATTTCGTATGAGGATATTCGAAAATCTGCAGAGTTTCTAATGCCAGAAATTTCTGTGAAAGATTCTCTGTTTGATGAAACGAGTCTTCTAATTTCACTGTTGAAAGATTCAAAAGAAAGTTTCCACGAATTGCCCATTGATATAAAATGGGCTGTTCTGTTTCAAAACGAACTGTTTTTAGATTTGAAGAAATTGGTATACACAATTTTTGCCATTCCTACCTCGAATGCTGCTGTTGAGCGAATTTTTTCATTATGTAAAAAACAATGGACTGAGGATAGAAACTGCCTAAAAATTGATACTGTTAAAAGTTTACTACAGGTAAAGTTTAATTATTCTTTAACATGCTCTGAAATGTACACTTACTTGTTAAAAAACGATGACTTAATTAAGCAAATACAATCAAAGGATAAGTATGTTGGTTGATTTCAGTAGTATGCCGGAGATCAGAGACTTATACAAAAAATTGAGAAACTGTCGTATAGATTGAGTACTACAAGGAAGGAACGCTAGTATTTTTATTATATATATATATATATATATATATATATATATATATTGTCAGAATTATGAAATAATACTGACTAAAAATACTTCAAAGTTTTCAACGCAAAAATTATTCACTCGATAGGGGGCATGGTGCAAGTTAATTTACTCGATAGGTGACGACGATTTTTTTTTTGTTTTGCAATTTAGATGACGTCATAAATTATTACAAATTATTTTAAAATTTAATTAGTAGTTTTTTTTTTATTAATTGGACATACCTTGGAAATTTTTATGTTTTAAAAACACCCGAAACAAAATCTAATTTTGCTTTGATAAGGAAGGGTGTGGAAGTGAAGAAGGACTGGGTTGACTAGGTAGGCATCCTCGAATAATCGGTGCCTGTTCTGGTCCCTAAGAGACTCAATACGTGATTCTATGCTCATTGGCATAGTTTCAGAAACGTCTTGAGTTCTCAAAAAGAGTCAGCCTTGGGTTTACCAGTTAGGCACCTTCGAATAATCAGTGCCTATTCTGGTATTTAAGGGACTTAATTCGTGATTCTATGCTCATTGGCATAGTTTCAAAAACGTCTTAAGTTCTCAAAAGTGGATTTGGTACGAGACTCTATGCTCATTGGCATAGTTTCGCACGCGTACTGAAGTCGCACGATTTGTTTCCAGTGTTGTTCTGACTCTTGTTGCTTTATGTTGGTTGTGCGAAAGCCAACCAGACTTGACGGCCCAGTGAAAACAGGCCAGGGTTGTGCGAAAGCCGACCGACCGACTGACTGACAGGCCCAGTGAAAACAGGCCCTTGGTCGTGCGAAAGCCGATCAGACTCGATGGCCAAGTGAAAACAGGCCAGGGTTGTGCGAAAGCCGACCGACTGACAGACAGGCCCAGTGAAAACAGGCCTTGGATTCTGTGAAAACGAATCCGCCTCCTTCTTTTGTTTCCTGTGCTATTTGTCGACCTAGGGTTCTTTGCTGGATTCTATACTAGTTTCACACGCAGCTTGCAATTTCCATAGGCTCCGATTTTTGTAATTTTTCCGTATTCATTTTATTTATTTCTTGGAGTTGTATCGACATCACCATCGGATACACACGTCGAGGTTGTACGATTAAACGGCAAGAAACGTATCCCAAGTCGAAGACCCAACAAGAAGTTCTAATTCCTGTATTCCAGTTTGTTCATTGACATTTTACATTATTATAGAGTTCATTTAGTTCAATTCCTCTTCATTGACTTCCGTCGATTAATAAAATTGTTATCGAATATTTTTCTTTACGCGTTCGTGTGTTACTCAGTAAAATCATATAATTCGAAAAAGCCCAGTGCCACACAGGACTGGTCGAACTCACGATAAAAATATACACAAAAATTATTGTCGGACCATAAAAAAATTCTCTGAGAAAGATAGAGGAAGGAGATTACCTCACATCAGTTGTTTTCATCATTTATAAAAATATATATATTTTGTTGAAATCGATCGCTGTTATTAAATTATTTCTTTTCTTTTTTAGATTTTCCAACTTTCGAATTAGTTTTTTTTATGTTCGTAATCTAGGTCGTGTATTAAGTTTTTTAAAGTCATTTTTAACAATTTTATTTCCCGACGTTTCGATGATATTACATCATTTTTAAGGTTAATTTTATAACTAATTTTTCCGTAGTTATATAGATATCTAAACAAAGTAAGTTTGAAATTTCAAACTTAAATTACGAATACGAACATAAAAAACTAATTCGAAAGTTGGAAAATCTAAAAAAGAAAAGAAATAATTTAATAACAGCGATCGATTTCAACAAAATATGTATAAAAGAGAACCTACTGCCGAATTACACAGACATATATATATGTATATATATATATATATATATATATATATATATACACACACACACACACATATACATATATCTGAATCTGGTTTTAAATTTTGAAGTTGAATAAAAGAAATTTCCATTGTTTTTAGTATTTACTGAATTTAGATTTTTTGTAAAAATTGATTGTCCTTTTTTTTGCGAAAAGTAAATGGGAGGCCTATTCGTTACAGTTTTGCTCATAAAACAAGATGCTTAAAAAATTCAACCATGAGATAGTCCGTCCTTTTTGAAAACCTGTATCTCAATCTGGTTTCAGACCTGCTAAAACTTCTTTACTCAAAATACATAATATCTTTCTCTCTAGGGATAATAGTAATCTTACTCTCCTTCTTGCTCCTGACTTTTTCTCTGCCTTTGATACTGTTTATCATACTATTTTCTTGAGGCTGCTAGATCTTTCTTTTAATATTACTGATTCTTGTCTATCTTGGTTTTTTCTTATCTCTGTAATCGTTTTTGTCCTGTTGTTCTCAATAATTCTACTTCTAACTCCTCTACTCTTACTTTCGGAGTACCTCAGGGTTCTATCCTTGGCTCTCATCGATTTATACTCTATACTTCTGAACTACCTCATATTATTAATATTTTTTCACTAGTCAACTATTTGTTGATGATTCTCATATTTATATTTCTTTTTCTCCATCTAATCTCAATAATGTTTTTCATAATCTATCTCTGTGTCTTTCTTTAATTATTGCTTGGTCTGACTCTACATTTACATAGCGATCATGAGACTCTTATCATCAGCTGGTAATTATTATAAATCACTGACTCTATGTGTCTTAAACTTAATCCTTCTAAATTTGAATTTGTTTTAATAAATCGAAACACTCTATTACTATTTCTCTTATTATCTTAGCTGATTCTAAAACTCTTGATGTTTCTCACAAGTTTCGTAGTCTAGGCTTTATCTTTGATTCGAGTATGTCTCTTTCTTCTCAGATTAATAATGTTGCTAAAAGTTCTTACTTTCATCTACGTAGAATAAAAAAACTTTTGCCTTTTCTTGATGATCCTACTCTTCTCCTTTTTGTTACTTCGTTAGTCTTATCTAGGATTGATTATTGTAACTCGCTCTACTATGGTCTCCCTGACTCTATACTCTATCCTTCAAGTAAAGCTTTTAACTCTGCTGCTCGTCTAGTTGCTCGTGCCCCTTTCTTTTCTCATATATCTCCATATCTTGTTCTTTTGCATTGGCTACTTATAAAATATAGATTAATTTTTAAAATTTGCACATTTATGAATAAGTCTCAATCTAAACTATTTCCTAAGTACTTATCAGATATATTAATTGAACCTAAACGCCTCGGTTTACGGTCGTCTTCTTGTTCTAACTTCTTCTTAACTCGTGTTAAACACTCGTTTGCTGAATTTGCATTTGCTTTTTCTGGCTCTTTTCTCAAGAACTCTCTACCTCCTTCTCTTTACTACTCTATCACTTACGAAGTTCAGAGCGGATCTCAAGACACATCCGTTTGCGAAATTCATTGAGGAGCGCTGTTGAACATCACGGAGATAGCGCTTTATAAATTGATTGATTGATTGATTGATTGATTGATTGATTGATTGATTGATTGATTAATAAAAGTAGATTTTAGACAGGGGGAATCGACTTGAAAAACTTTTATGTCTTTGTGCCTTTTTGGTGTGTATGTAAATTTTTCACAAATTCGAAATATTGCTAAATTATCTTTTTACTATAGTACAGAAAATCAACATATTATTTATTCATTTTTTATTTATTTATTTATTATTATTTATTCATCGTATTTGTTGTCGATAACTATTAATGCAAAGGGTATTTTAAATTACTTATATTTTCAAAATTTAGCAATGAATTGGACAAATAAGTATAATCCAGAACCGTTGAGATCAAAACTTCAACGATCAAGGAAGTAAATCAAACGGTCCGCAATAAATGATTCTAAAAGTTTGCAACATACACAATATGAAGCAACTGGGCTATAATTTTCAATTCTACGTTTACCCCTTTCTTAATATTTAGATTGCTTAAAATTCTTTTTCATGAGATGGGTCAGAAATCGTTTGTGAAATAGATTGACGGATGATTAGACTATGACTTAGACTTTCAACATCAATGATCAAAACACAAACAAAACTTTTTAAAATATATCATTCAATCAATCTTTTAAAATAATTATTTGATTTTTATCGTGCTGTTCTCAGGAACGATATTTACTTGATCTAAAGTTCGTAAGTTGATAATGGTTTTTGGAATTTGAGTTTCAAAACCGACAGTAGTTACGTTTACAGAATCAATAACAATAATGCAAGATATGAATGACAGAATGACACTTAAAGTCCGACATAACTCGAAAATCAAAACTTAAAAAGATGCTAAATAGATAATAAGTTTGATCACATTGACTTGATAGTAAAGTATTATTACATTTTCAGATGATTCCAATCTCGAATGAATGACTCTTTGTTAAAACGTTTTCATTTACTCATTAAAATACACATTATGAAGAGTAAGTAACACGTGAACGTGACGTAAGACATTTATTTTGCTATCGTAATTGTTTTATGTTTGAAATATATGCATCATAGAAAAAAAAGTATCTATCCCTCGTTAATCCATAAAAAGCAAATTGTTCACATCAAAAGGTTCCAGTTCAAAAGAATCATCATTTTTAAGGATCTTCGTAACAGCTGGATAATTTATATTCGTTGTGTTTCAACAATCAACAAACAAAAAAATATTTTACTTCCAAATGTGCCTAGTTCAAAAAATATTGACAATGAAAAGATACCTTCCAAAGCATCTTCTGCAAAGAACCTTACGTCGTCATCTTTGTCGTCAACCAATTTTTCCAGCGGTGGTACAACATTCAACTCCAACAACCTAACAACGTTTAACCTCTACTTACATTACATTCTACTGATATATTTGCATTAAGTGTTTATTAATTAATAATAAGATGAGAACAAGAGCAGAATTCAAATTTTCACTGGTTAAGTCTGCTCTACATGACTTCATCTACATTATCATTAGCACGGGCATTGGGCGACAAAAGTCACTTCTTGATGAATTGACCATTGAACATTTTTGTATTTTTCTACAAAATTATGCTGACGAAACTAAGAAAAAAATTTAAGGAAATTAAAACTTGTAATAAAATAAACGGAAACTTGTTATTTTCAACGTTCGGAGATAGATGCATGATTGCTATGGCTACGTTCAATCGGACGTTAGCGATGGGATCGTTTGATAGTTTATTCAGCAGAGGGAGAACAGTTTCCAGAATGGTCTCTTTAACGTAGATGGGCGCTAGTTTCTAGAAAGTAAAATTATTCAATTTCTTCGAGATATTTATTCGTAGCACATATCTGAATTAAAACTAAAAAGAAATCAGAGAAAAGTCATTTGCTCCCAAAAAATATTAACCCGGATTAGTTGAAGACAGGCGATTCTGACTAGATAATGTTGGTTGCGTGTTTGTTGCAAAACAACTGGAAAAAACGACATCTGCATTTGATATCCATATTTTTTGAACAACAGGACCAGATGGTCAACGCAGGTTTCTCTGATGATAGCTACTGTTATAAATTGATAAGAAAGAAATAAAATATTATAATATTTTATAATATGATAATATTTTGGAGATTGGCATTAAGAAATTAATTGCTGAGTACAAGTTATAAAACATGAAGGTCCAATCTTTGTTCATTGCGAAACATGAACATTACATAATCCTTGTGAACAAGATTTATCATTGTACTTACCGCTTGGATATTATGTAATTTTAAAAATTTATTTTATTTTGAAATCAAATTAAAACAATTTTGCTCATAATTTTTTAAAAGTAATTTTTATTTCTGTCAAAGTTGCAGACCAAAAACTTTGTAACATTTTTGTATTTTATTGTTTAGCTTTGACAAACGCAAAGATTTTACGTATCGTCCCTAAGATGGTTGCAATTAAGTTTTTGTACCATAAAAGCTGCACAACCACACCACAAGACATACATATTACAAGTATACATCAGTAGGCACTAGCAAGCACCGCAGTAAACGGAGAGGACCCCACTGAAACATTACGGACTATGAGAGTTTTTGATATTCGAACAGATTGCTACATTGCTCTTGAACACGGAAAAAGCGCAAAAAGAATGAAGCAAGATGTGACACACACTTCCACCAACAGAGCTAGCTTTCTAGCTGGTGTTATTTATTAATCTTTGTCAAAAAGATTTGTTTAAATTTAATGAAAGGTTTGTTCAAATTTAATGAAAAACACTTTATTAAAGTTGCAATGTAACATTATGACACATTTTAATCATTTTTATCAAAAAAATATACAATATCAACTAACCACTGTCCGTTAACCAGCTAATGAAAAAGGTATGCTGTTTCGCGAAAAATGTATCGTGTCCCTATGATTCGATATAAAATATTAGAACATGAAAATGTGCACAATTCATTATTACCAGCACATTTATTTAAGTTGAACGTGCGTGGTGGCCATTACCAATCGAACATTTTTAACCATAGTTGCCAGAACAATGTCACACAATTGAAACGTCCATCATAATTTCACTAAAATATATAAATATATTAAAAAAAAGTAAAAATCGTGGATGTAATTACGGCTTTAAGAGCTAGATCTGCATTGTAACGGAGAGAGGCTAGCCTGACTTTCCATTTGATGTCGGTGACAAGCACCGTTAAACTGGGCAGAAGATTTTCAAATATGGCTTCAATGTTCTCCGTCTGTTAAGTTTTTTACGTACAAACATTTCAAATACATGCGGCCGCGAAAAAACATTATTATTATGAGTAGTAATAGTAAAAAGTATGCAGATTATTTTTGCCTTGTGTTTTATGCCTGTTATATTTTTTTCATAGACTTCGTTTGGTTAAACAGATAATAAGATGAAAAAGAAATCCTCGACCTTATTAATGTGGAAGAGTTGATTCATCAACTCCTCCCGAACAGACTGGTTCCCGTCTTTCGATATCTTTTTGATGATCGGGAAAATATCGTTTACCACTCTAAGTTTGAGAAAAATATGTATTAAATAATTTTTTATTATATTTATATACAATAAATAAAAAACATATATAATATAACAATTTTTTCGAAATATTTTTTTATAAATATACCTTCATATATATTTTTATATTTATTATAAATATACAATGATTAAATGTAAACTAAAGACTTAATTGCGTGAATAAATTGCACGTGTGACTGCGTCACGATGTAGTAATGACAAATTTAACAGCAAGGTACGATAATGTTGTTAAGTAGAATGAAAATCCTACAGCTCATCTGACACGTGGCTGCTGATGTTGCCGATGACTGTGGCTAAAGACAAGCGTACAGAGATGGATTCTTCATTTATGAGATCCTTCAAACATGGCATGACAAAATTTTCTACCGTTTCCTCTTTCTCATCCGACATGAGCTGTTCCAGGAAGTCTGTGGAAATTTTTGATGACGAGAAGATATAACTTGGTACGGTGGTAGTTTGAAATAAAATGTAAAAATTGGCTTTAACTCTTTTAATGTTTTCTAATGTTGCATGGTAACTGGTTATAATATGATAAACAGGAAAATTTTTAATAATTCTGTCACAAATAAAAAGTTTAGTTTGAAAAAATTCGATGTATAGGTATCATTAAAGTTTATAACAGTTAATTAAATTTTTATAATAATCACAAAGTTTTCGTACAGACTTGGTAATTTCAAAATAGCCGTCGATTTAACAGTCAAATTGCAATCTGAAAACATTTTTTGGTAAATTGACATCATTGTTTTACGAGATTTCACTTCAAAAACTGTTGTCGTTAACTGAAAGTGGTTAATATTTAATTTGTATGAAATATCGAAAAACTGAAAATCAAACTAAATGTTAAATACATTAAAATACAAAAAAAAATGCATAGGATACAAATTATAACTGTAAATATAACTACAGCGACGTGACGTTTAAGTGGATGAATATGATTTATAAACTTGTTTGATAAAGTTTATTTTGTTTTAAATTTAAAAAAAAAATTAAAAAACCGCTGGCAAATTATTGGCGAGAATTGATCTGACGTCGTCTGAAATGTCGGCTGCAGCTTTTTCAACAATGCTGAAAATATAACTTTCTCTATAAGCTGTAGGCAACTTCACGAATAACGGAAGGATGTTTGATATGACAACTTTTTTAACGGACTCCTTATCAATTTAAATCATTAATCCCTTAATAACTTCATCAATCTCAAAAAATTAACAAAATTTCATCTCACAAAAAATTTAAATATGGATGGAGATGAATGGACAAAAAATTTTCAATGATACCTGCTGATCCTTCACTAAAGCGAGGAATAATGGAAACAACTCACGAACAAAAATTTCCAGTGGTACAATAGGAATCATCTCGACGATAACTTTTGTTACTTCTTCTCTAACGATCGGGTTGCTGCACAATGTCATTTTTCCTATCAAACTGTATGAGTAAAGATTAATCACGAAAAATTTTACTTTAATGTTCAACAAAATTAAATTTGATACTTTTGACTTTTGTGGTGTCTTATTTATTTTAACGTGCTACTTTTTTCTTCAATTTATTGAATTGCTTTTGTAAAAAAATATTTTATCATAATGTTGACGCTTGAACGCAATTAATTTAGACCAGCTCGCTATTTTTATTCACTATTTTTTAATTGACGCCTTAGCACAATAATTATCACGACCGTTTGAATTTGCTGTCTCCATAGGTTATCAACATTCAAATAAGTTTAAACCAAAAAGGGCCTATATAAAAGTGTTAATATTTTATTGTAATTCCAATAATATTTAAATAACGAACGATCGCATTTCTTTTTTCATAGACCCGGTAGATCTTTCATAAAGTTTCAAAACCATCTGACACGCTGATAGCTTGGCGACAATGGACTGAGATGCGAGAAACCTTCTGAACATAGGCATGTATAAACTTTCTAACTCCTTTTGAGTGTGATATCTCATCAATTTATTTAAAGATGATATAGCCCTGACCCTTATTTCGTTATTTTCGTTAGATGCTAATTTTTCTAAAGGTTCCTTAAAAAGTTTGAAATTAATAGAAATAAATAATTCCTTTGAAAATAGTTTAGTATTTATCCCCAACCAACAGGCAAGAAACATGGTCAACTCCACCAACATAGGCAACCATGTCGCCAAGAGTCTCGGCAAGCACCGCGAGTAAACTATCATCGTATTTCAGGACGCCTAAGACGGCATTCAAAAATAAAGTTTTAGAAAGCTTTTGACATTTGAACACACTTCTAACGATTCATCAACCTGTTAGTTTGGGAAGAAGCTTTGTTCGAAAATTTGAAAACCCGATGGCCAACGCAACGGACGTCAAATGATTGAGACAGTCTAGCTGTGCCTTATGACAATTATTTTAACTGCATTTACGTTTAAATTGAAAATTTAACAATGACTACTAAATGAAATGAACAAACTACAAGTACGTCGTAATCTTGCGATCTGAGTCTATCTAAAAATGCTTCAAGTAAAACATCACCATCGTCGTCGTCATCCTCATTATTTCCATCAGAACGGGTGTCTAGATCATCGTCTTTCATTTCCGTTTCGTCCATTTTAAAGTAAGTTGAAAAATGAAATAATGGTCACATGCACACTTGAAAAATAAAAACAACCGAAAAATATTGTTTATCTACGTAGATCTTCGTTTTAAATTAAATAACGTAATTCACTTCAAATACCATTTGATCGAATAAATTTAAATAGTTGATTCTAAAATTAAAGAAAACGCAAAGAAAACTGTATGAAATCACTTCTTAAGAGTTCAAATAAATAAACAGCTAGTCTCAGCGGAACAAACTGTTATACGCAATGTAATCAGAAATATCGAACTAGTGTATTGTAGTATACGTATCGCAAAATTTCTGAAAACTTCAAGCAATACCAAAACAGAATCATTACATAATTATTAGGAAATAGCAAATATTAGTTAATGGATAATATATAAATACATCAAGGAAAAACCAAAAATATTGAATTCATCAAATGGGACAATCTTTAGAGAGAAATGCACAGACCACATAGTGAAACTAATAATCCCTATAGATTATTTATTCAGGACGAGCATGCATTATTTGTATATCATAAATAAGTAAGTAAATAAATATACATATATAATTAATAATTATATATAATAATACTTATTTAAGATGATTAAAATATATTTCCAACAAAATACAAACACGCACACACATACGCACACACTAATGATATCGGTTTAACTGTTGAAAAGAATAAAAACCCTAAAGTATTCAGTCTCTGTATATCTAGAAAGTGTTCTTCAAATACACAAATAACAGTTTTATCACAATAATGAAAAATTAACACATCGTCATCTATCAAAAAATCGATTCAGTTAATGGTGTCAAAAATTGTACTTGAAACAAACACTCTACAATTACATTTTAAAGGGTTATTGTTAGTACGATTTCAGCTTGACACACATATATACAACAGTGCATGTGATAAATAATATGCAAACATATGCATGTACATATTTACAAATATACACACATATATGCACACTCCTGATTTCAATTCAGTTCAGTACAGTAATAAGAAAATAAAAATAATCAAAGAAAAAATTTGAAAGGTTGAATTTTTCTAAAACATGCCAGCCAGGTCGTAACTGTTTGCTGATTCCTTTCTCTCCCACATCACTGAAAATTTAAAATTAAATTAAAATTAACTAATATCAATTATAAAATTTTTAAAATTAATTAAAAAATTAAATAAATAGTTAAATTAAATTTAAGATTACATTTGAACACTTTTTAAATTCATTAATTTTCATTATAAAATATATCCAAACACATTTATTTTCAAAAGTAAACAGCCAGCCAGTTGTTGGTTTCTAAATCTTACTTAATAAATTATTCAATTTTCTTTTGATTACATTTCACCTTTTTTGTTACCAATCTTTTCACTAAACAATCCATAAATTGATTAACCACCTTATTATCACTCACCTCCAGCACCATAATAATAGCAACCAAAGTTCATCACGCCATTTAAAATCACATGCTTGTGCATGAACAAAAACATTCCCCGGTGATAATTTTTCTCCTTATACCCACTGGTTGATTTACTAAAAAATTTATCCTAGCATAAAATTAATTTCCATTAAAACCATTTCACATTATATGCACTTTCTATTTTCTATATTAAGCCCAATGCCAAATTATTTTTTCTTATTAAACTTTCAGACCTTCATTTTGTTTTATTCAATGAAATAAAATAATTACTAAAGCACATAATCAAATTTTCTTTTCCTTATCTACTAAAACTAAATGAATCAAATGATAAGACAAACCTTTCTGTGTTGTGCATCTTCTTGCTGTTTTTCATAATGATAGAAATCGTCGAAAATAGAAGTAGTATGTCGGTACTGGTGTATGATACGGAGAACTTGCTTACCCTTTTCGTAGGGTACTTCTTGGGTGTCTCTTGAATTGGTCACTGGTTTGTTTTCATTGTTTTCCAATTTTATGTGACGCAACTGGCTGTTTGGCACATCCTTCACATATATCCACTTTACTGTAAACTGTCCTTTCCACTTATTTTGAGCCCAAACTTCAGATGACGATGAATAATCAATGGGAGAAGTCATCTGAGCAACTCCACAAAAATGTCCACTTCCATTAACACTGAAGTAAAGAAAAACCTGACCCTTGCCCTCTCTTTCCCTATAAGCAGCATCCAGTCTTTTATTACCATACTCCGTGCTGCACCAAATGGAGTACTTAATGGATCGATGAATATCATCTTCAGAAAAACTTTTAATGACAAAAAATCTAGCAGCTTTTGGATTCAGATCAAAATCTTTTGGATTATAATCATTAGGATTGAAATTACATGCAACAGGTGCAGAGGAACCACCAGTACTTGCTCCACTACTGCTTGTTGTTGGATTGTTTGTAGCAGCTTTGTAGTTTCCAGAATCTCCACCTGCATCTCCACCGTAATGTGCCAATGATGGTTTGAATCCTCCTGAAGAATAGGGACCACCATAAACCTGCCTTCCTTCACCAGCCATAGGTCTACTGCTGCTATTCTGAGAATATTTTGAAGGTACTCCTTTCTCCCATCCTGGAGCTAATGGTGCTTTAGGAATTGCTCTACTAGTACGTGGAATTGTTGATCGGGATGGTTGCTGGTTAACAACATTTGCCCAACTTTTCTTTCCTGCTGGAGCACCTGATGATGATAAACGATTGCTTGAATCTTTTTCGCCATCACCTGACAAACTCATATTTTTGAAACTCTGCTCTGCAGCTTGCACTCCTCCATTTGAATCACCATTGTAGTCATTGCTAGCAGTGACCTCGCCTGTTTCATCGACTTGTTGTTCCCCGTAATATGAACCATTAGGATAGTCATTCCTCTTGTAATAATGGTTTTGTTGGTTCCACGAGCCACCAGATGATGGGTCAACATTTGGATACCACGAGTAAGAATAATCATAGCCAGCATACATTCCCGGGTTCATATATTCGGGATGGTTGGGCATCGGCCCATAACCTCCATACATGCCTTCACGATCTGACCAACTTCCCTCCTGCACTGAACCAGCTGGATTGCCATGGTAATGGTGCCAATAGTAATAAGGATCTGCATTTTGACCCATTTGAGCGGGGTTGTAAGCAGTCTAGGTAAATAAATATATTAATTTAATTCATATTTATTTAAAAGCAATAAGTTAGTCATTAAATTTTGAAAAAAATATGTGAAAAACGGGATTTTCAAGAATTTTTTTTATTTTCCACAAAAATTGAAAGCAATTTGATACAAATCAAAAGACATTATTTAGTTAGATTGTCTATTTTTTTTATTTATATAAAAAGATAAAAGGCATTATTGCATTTGATCTCATTTAATATTGATAGTACAGTCTATGTGAAGAATGATATGTAAGCTGTTCTACATAGGTCGGAGCTAATTAATAAAGAGCCAAATAACTGAATATTTATCAAATAACTTTACATTTGTTTGTTGCATTCAAATTTATGTAATAAAACAAACAAATTAAATTAAAAAATTAATTACAGGAATACAGAAATTTCTAAAAACAAGCACTCTTATTTGGTCTGCCAATTAATTGATTAAATCTACAACTCTACATCCTTGCAGCACTTTAAAAAGACTTTTGATTATATATATTGAGATTAAAAAAACATTTAAGGTATTATCAAAAATATAAATGATTTTGTAGTAGCAAACACAGCGGCTGACCATATAATGTATTTATTTTAATTTAAATATTTTTTAAATAGATTAGTAAATTATTATTTAATAACACAAATATATCTTGAATGATTATTTTAAAAACATTGTACTGCATTAAAAATTTTATAAATTAAGTAAACAGCGACATATACAAAGTTTAATTTTATTCATCATATATATTTTATATTTATTTATATATTTTTTATAATTATTTAAAAAATATTTATGTCAAATTTTTGCCAAATACTTGTGAATCTGGTCCATATTCATAGCCAGTCTCTTTATTGGATGCAATGTTTTCATCTACAATAAAAACCAACAAAAATCTAATGATAATACTTTTGACAAAAATTATACAAAATTTAAGAAAATTGTGGAAAGTTTCACTTTCTCGACTACCATGCTAAATCATCAATATTGACTGCCATCAATAAACATGCACATATAGTTGGGGTTATGTAAAGGATTTATGCATACATAAATACATTATAGATTATATATCTTCGAAAATATTAAATTCACATGGCCAGTATTTTGTTGCATGTACTGTGCACACAATTTATTTGATGATGACAGAAATATAAATGTGCAATGATGGAAAACTAGGTAAATAATAAAGTTCTTACGTACATGTTTTTCACTATCTAAAATAGTGAAATTACTAAATTAGATAACTTAGGTAAATAATAAAATGACAAAAAACTATAAAAAAACTGAATAAAATAAAATGTAATATTGTAATATACAGCTAATTAGGACCTACAAATATAATTTACAATTTCAATAGAAGCAAAAATGTTAAATCATATGCATGTGCACTCAATGTAGTTTGTAGTGTAACAATTTCATAGCTCTATGTGCATAACTTAGATATTTACAAATACAGTTGTCTGTAATGTAAATGATGGACTAATTTATTTATTATCTAAATATATACCTTAACCCTCTAGCCCTGTGCTTATTTATTGATAGAAAATTTTTTTTTATTGGCAGTCAAGAAAGTGAAACTTTGCTAAAAATGCAATAGGAGTGTACCGTGGATCTCGTGAGACTTTGATGACCTCTGCAAATCACAATTAAAATGCAACATATTAATTAATTTTCAAACATGAAGATATTTTAAAATGAGCAAAACAAATTAAATTAAATTACGTTTGATCCAGACTAGAATCTGATGACAAAACTATAGTTACTTTTTGTTAAAATTAAATTAATAATTAAAAAGAAAAAAAGAATTTAAACAAAAAAAACAAAATAAATGCAAAACTTAAAAAAAGGATCCTGATCTGAAAAAAGGATACCTACCTGATCTAAACTGGAAGACATTTTACAATTAGGATCTAACAAAAACAAATTATTAACTTTTCTACGCCGAATAGCTAGTTTAAAGCAATAACAATTATTTCTGGATGAGCGTCTTTAATAGTTGCAAATAATGTTAGAACTAAAATGGCCGAACGACCGGTGAGTCAGATCGGGATTTTATCGTTTCAACTGATATATACGTAAAGTTAATGGCGAATCAAAAAGTTATTAGGTTTTTCAGTATAATTAAATTCTGGATGTTTTGAAATGTTAATGTAGGAATTGAACTATAGATTTTAAACTTAATAATCTGAAACTTGAAAGCATTTGCGTCAATTATATAAAATGTAATGAATGTGTGAGGATAATTTAGCTCTTCTTTCCAGTAATAAGTGTGTAATGGGGAGAACACGATACGGCAAGTTCAGCATATAACCATGTAATTCAACAAGCAAAATACACGGAATATACTTTATTTTGTGAGCAGATTTCTATATTTTGGCAAATTTTTTATTCTAACGTCTAACCCATAGTCTAAGTCTCAATCTTTTATACAGGTATTGTCTCAGCGTAAAACCTCTATTACTATTACTTCCATTTATATCAGTACCAGACATTGAATTATATAATTCCATGGTACCAGATTCTAAAACTTTTTTTTTCTCATAAGTTTGAAAGATTCTTAGCCTTTGCTATATTTTTGATTCTATTATGTCTCTCTCTTCTGCAATTATTGGTTTTACTTTTATCTACGAATAATAGAATACTTTTACCTTTTCTTGGTAATCCTTTTATTTTCTTACTTGTTTTGTTACTTCGTTTGTTTTATCTTAAAGAATGATTATTGATTTGTACTCGCTCTACTATGGCTCTCTGATTCTAAGCTCTCTATCCTTCAAGTAGGCTAAAGCTTTTAACTCTGCTGATCGTTTAGTTGTTTGTACCCTTATCTTTTCTCATAAATCAACATATCTGGCTTTAATAAAATATAAAATATTTGCACAATAATGTACAAGTATCTATCCATTTTTTTTTTACTCAAGAACTTATCAGATATGTTAAATAAAACTAAATGGTTTACGATCGCCTTCCTGCTCTCACTTATTCTTAACTCTGTTAAACATCCTTTACACTAAATCTGTTTTGCTATTTATCGCCCTTTTTTCTAGTACTCTCTACCTTCTTCTACATTTACAAATTCAAAGCGGATCTCAAGATCTGTTTGTAAAATTCTTGGAGGAGCGCTGTTGAACATCGCGGAAATGGCTCTTTAGAAACAAGTTGATTGATTTTTCAATATTGAAAGCAAGAGCAGCTTTTTTTACGTAGAATATTCAATATGATTAATCCAGCTGGAAACCTCAAAATAATATAAGCTACGGTTAAAATATAATGTAAGGACGCAAACCCTTCATAGTAAAATATTCAAGTCAGTAATCTGCCTTGCAATCAAGTGATTCTGTTTTGCCTAAAGAGAAATTTGAAGCTAATGACGATTACTTTTCATAATAATTATTCAAAACACCTTTTTATCTTCAATTATTTCTATTCAATTTAAAGTTTTCCCCACTGCCTTTCCTTTATCAATTTTTTGGTAAATCTTCGATCTTCATTTGTAGTGTTTATTAATCCGTTATCTGGCATTGTTCACATGTATTGAACATTCAGTTTAATTTTTTGACCTTTAAACACCTCTATAATTTTCTGTTTTAGAAATAGGTTCAGCTTTTGTATTATTTCCTCATTGCCGATATTTTATATGCACTATTTCAATATATACAAAAGTGTAGAATACTCTAAAATATTACACAATTTTGCATTTGTTTTAAAGACGCTATAACAATAATATATAATATATACTAATACTTTTCCAAACTTCTTTGAACGATGTAAGCAACCCACATATAAGTGTTTTGATATAATATCTTAGTTATAGTAGAGTAGTCGCGTCAGTTATAAACTTTTGAGACCGACCAAGTAACACAAACCAGTTTCAGTTAATTCACTATAGTTTTTTCTGATTTTAATTAATACTTTGCGCTCTTTCAATATTTTTCCAAATTTAACCTTTAATTCATTTACTGTCATAAATTTCAATCAATTTCTGTACATTCTGTACATCTTATATCAATCAATAAATCAATCAATAAATCAATAAATCAATAAATCAATAAATCAATCAATCAATCAATCAATCAATCAATCAATCAATCAATCAATCAATCAATCAATCAATCAATCAATCAATCAATCAATCAATCAATCAATCAATCAATCAATCAATCAATCAATCAATCAATCAATCAATCAATCAATCAATCAATCAATCAATCAATCAATCAATCAATCAATCAATCAATCAATCAATCAATCAATCAATCAATCAATCAATCAATCAATCAATCAATCAATCAATCAATCAATCAATCAATCAATCAATCAATCAATCAATCAATCAATCAATCAATCAATCAATCAATCAATCAATCAATCAATCAATCAATCAATCAATCAATCAATCAATCAATCAATCAATCAATCAATCAATCAATCAATCAATCAATCAATCAATCAATCAATCAATCAATCAATCAATCAATCAATCAATCAACCAATCAATCAACCAATCAACCAATCAACCAATCAATCAGCTTATATAACGCTATTTCCGCGATGTTCAACAGCGCTCCTCAATGAATTCTAAAAACAGATGGGTCTTGAGATCCGCTCTGAACTTCGCAAGTGATGGAGAAGTTGTCAGAGAAGTAGGTAGAGAGTTCCAGAGAAAAGGACCAGAAAAAGCAAAAGCAGATTTGGCAAAAGAGTGTTTAACACGAGTTAAAAAAAAGCGAGAAGAAGAAGACGAACGTAAACCGGGGCGTTTAGGTTCAATTAATATATCTGATAAATACTTAGGAAATAATTTAGATTGAGACTTATACATAAATGTGCAAATTTTAAAAATTATTCTATATTTTATAGGTAGCCAGTGCAAGAGAACAAGATATGGAGATATATGAGAAAAGAAAGGGGCACGAGCAACTAGACGAGCAGCAGAGTTGATAGCTTTACTTAAAGGATAGAGTATAGAGTCAGGGAGACCATAGTAGAGCGAGTTACAATAATCAATTCTAGATAAGACTAACGAAGTAACAAGAAGGAGAAGAGTAGGATCATCAAGAAAAGGCAAAAGTTTTTTTATTCTACGTAGATGAAAGTGATAGCTTCTAGCGACACTCTGAGAAGAAAGAAACATAGTAGAATCAAAGTAGAATATAAGCATACATATATATTTTAAATAATAAAGTAGACATATATGTAAAATAATAGTAGATACAACAATGGATATATATATATTATAATATAATATTATATATAATATATGATGATATGTGAATATATGATAATATATGAAGGCCATAAAGACAACATCTAAATATTATAAAGTAATACCATTGTAAAACTTTAAAACATTTTAATAAAGCGCTTCATAATGATAAATCGTCCCATTAACGTGGACATTTTCCATCGACAATATTGTTTTTGTCAAAATTATGATATTGGGTTAATTTTTTTAATTACAAGCACCAAAGGTGAGAATTTGTCGGAAAAATTTAACTACGTTGACATTTTTCAGTTTTTTCAGTAATATTGACAATTTTAGAAACATATTTGTCGTTGTATTGCGTTTTATGGACGGGTTTATTTTTGTTTTACTTTTTTTATCTTTTATGTTTCTTATATTCCATAATTATTTTTTTATTCCACTATCTGGATATCTCGCTGTATTTATTTATTAAAATGGAACGAGTGGCATGTCTCAGGCTTTATTTCTTTTGTTAGGACATGAATGAATAAATTGCCATTTTTTTTATTTATTCAACCAAAAACTAAATCTAAAAAAATTTTTTGTTAAACAATAAATAAACAGTTCTAATTAGTTACTTTACTGTAGTTAGTGTAAATCAATATTATATTATAAATTAGAAAATTTATTTATGTATGATTGTGATTGAATACAAACATATTATAGTTATTTTTACATAAATCTTATTTATTATTATTATTTCATATGTCTTGCTGCTATCTATGGATATTTATTTAAGATACATATACATACATGATGAGATATGAATTAGTCATGTTATTTATGAGATTTTTGTTTTGTTTTCACTGAAGAATGCCAAGGCATGGTGACCACAAATGTTTCTCCCTTAGAAAAAGGCCATTGTTGAATAATGTCAATAAAAAAATGAGATAATTAATAATGTTTTTTGTTATAGTTAGATCTTTTTTCAAAGATCTTCTAATGAAGTTTTGAAATTATTACGATTTTTTATAAGTCTAAATCAAATATTTTTTCACCTACTCACTTGACATCTCTGTGATAAGTTATAAAGTTGTTAAGAGAATGAATGAAAAGAACCTGAAGATAAAGTGAGGTGTTCTGTTTGGATTAAGCAATTGTTATGTAATAACTACTGCAAGCATGATCTAATATCTATTACTATATCACCATTTTACTCTGTTTTTGTAAGAACTCTTTACTGTCCAGCATCTTTAGTTTTGTAGATGAGTGGTTTTGCTCTTTGTGTGTTTGTTTGTTTGTTTGTTTGTTTGTGGTATGCATTCACACATTATATCTTGGCATCAGACATGAAAGTTCTTCAATTTTATGTCATGTGACAAGCCATCAATTAATTATGGCTGATTTGTTCAATATCATTATAGTTTAATGATTATGATATAATATACCACAAAATACAAAATTTTTTATTTTACAAATGTGTGTTTCATTTATAATTTTAACTGGTATGTAGTTTTTTACTGTTGAATTTTTCATGGTGTAAAGATGTTATTCATTTGATGCAAAACATGTTGAAGTAAATGTTTATGAAAGTTTTATGAAATAGTTTCTATAGTTTTCTTTGGTCTCCTGGTTTGAATTTGTGATCTTTTCAATAAAAGCATTCCATTATCACCTTATTTAGATAGACCTTTTAATTTTTTTATTTTCTTTGACATCACAGACAATATGATGATGACACTGACAATGACTGTCAGCCAGTAGCTTGTTATCTTAGATCTGAGCTTGACTTTGAACTGTTATACATGTTAATGTGTCTGCAAATGTGCTTTTATATATATATATATATATATATATATATATATATATGTTGGTAATAGACCATAATTTTTACAATACAAACATTTGGTAGAATTTATAGAATATTGTAAAAAAAGTATATATATATATATATATATATAAGTAGATGTGTGTGTGTGTTTACACTACCAGATACAGATATATTTGTACACAATAGATGTGCTTATAAAAGTATGCTGCATTTCAGGCATAGCTGTAAGTTTTAAAAAGCAAAAGACATGTGCTTGTTTATTTGTGTATGTCTTTCTATAAAGTATAAATGTACATATATAACTGGGTGTATATACCTTTTGAAATAAGTTTTATACAATATCAACTTGACTGTGTAAACACCTAAATATTGAACTGAATGTGCATGCATTTCTTAATGGTTCATGAATTAATTTGTTCATAATGAAAGTCACATGTTTCTTTAAATTAAATTGTTCAGTTTTCTGGTTTGTCTTATACCATTAAATAATTTCTGTCTAATTTCATTTGAATTAGTAAAGTGTTTATCAAACTAGTGTGAGATAAATTAATTTAATAATTTAGTTTTATAGATAATTTAATAATTTAGGTTTATATTAATTAATTAATTAATTAATTTAGTTTTATAAATAATAAATTGTTTATCACTTTTTTTGGTATGAAGTGAAAACATATATTTGGTTTATTTATGGATTTATAATCTAGAATTTGAGGTAATGTTGGTTTATTTTGAAAATTGCTAATTTTTATATAATATCAATGATAAATGAATAAGTAATTCTGAGTAATCATTAATAATATAAATCAATATTTTTCAACCATGCTTCGTGACTTTAGTCTTTTCTATAATAAATAATGAAAAAATTTATTAACTGGAAAACAACTTTATACAAGTAAATATAAATTTATATTTAGAATTACAATGATGTCCAAACAGAATCTTCATTAACCTAAAAAATAGATTTATTTTTATCCACATTTCATTTTGAAAGAAGATTTTAAAAACTTTAAGAATGAATATATTTATTGAAAAATTAAAATAAATTATCCAATCAGCTTGTTTTCTTATATATTTTAGTAAACTTTAAATTTAAAGCATGTAAAAATGAAAATATCTTGTCAGTCTTGTTTTTAATACTTTGTTTATTATTTATTTATTCATTTTGTGTTATAATATCTAGATATGATGATGATGAGGATGTATATCACAAGTAGTGATTATTATGTACATTTTTATAGATAATGTGCATATGGTTTTGTTACACATGTGTAGTACAAAGGCTCGTGTATACCAATGGTTATGTTTTGTTATGAAACATGCTGTGTGTGACTATTAATTTTTAAATCGCTGCTGTTTTGAAAAGAGCTTTGTTTGTTATTTTATAAATATTTCAAACATTTGGTTCTAATTAAAAATATTTTCTTTTACACCAACAGAACAATTTTATTTTATTGTTGATGAGAAAATGAAGACATTGTGACAGCCATCTTAACTGCAACTGTACATCATTCTGTTGTCAATAAATTTTCTAGATACTGACTGGATGCATTCTATGTTATTTACTGTCTTGATAGAAAATTTAATTAAACATAAATCACACAAAGAAGAGGGACAGCAACAGCAGTAATTAGAGTAATAGCATTAGCGGCATCAACCAAAGTGACACCGACAAAAGTAATAATAAATAGTTTCTTTACTGTTCTTACACATCTCATTTGAGCAAAATAGGTAACGTACTACCTCAGATTGCTGCTCAATTGAAAGGAGGAGCAGTGACGGTCAGTGATGTTGGTGCAGCAGACAGCATGGATGGCAGTGAGGGGGCATCGACATGTGGCACTCCATCTCACGTTAAGAGGCTGAACAACAAGAGGATGAATGGCTCAAAGAACAGGCAGCGACATGACGAACCAAGTGTTAGTGCCACTACTAAGGCAACTAACAACAGTCATAAAAATAATAATTACGGGAACAATAGATGTAATAACGGTAATAAAATAATTGTTTCTTGCAGCAGTAGCGTTAATAATAAAACTACCAGCATTTTTATTAGCAGCAGTGCTAATGCTAACCCCAGCAACAAGAACAACAGTAGATGCAACAGTATTAATGACAGTAACAACCTCATTTCATCTATAAAGTGCAATGTTAGTGTAAATAAGATCAACAATGTTAATAAGATTAAACAGAATAATCAGGACCCTGTAGTTGCCAGCGGAATGTTAACTGGTAGAACCAAAGTTCTAACTTGTCTTTCTACTAACACAGTGTGCACCATCGACGTTTCATCTATCACAACTTATAGTTCAATAACCACAACAGCCATTCTGACAGTCTGTTGTAGTACTATCAGTACAAATACTACCAACAGCAAAGATAGCAGTATTAAAATTAGTAAAAGTTATGGTTTACATTCATTGCATAATAAAGTTATTAATAACTTCAGTGATAGAGTTAAAAATGACAACAATAATAATATAATTAATAATATTAATATTGATAAGGATGTGTCAACATCAAAGTTCTTTGAAACATTTGATACGTCTGTCAGTAACATTTGCAATAATGCTGCTACTGTTGGTAATAATAATAATAATAATAATAATAATAATAATAGTAGTAGTAGTAGTAGTAATAATGAACAAGGTATAATCCAAAAGGACTTAAAAAGCGTTACTGCTAATGTGAGCAAAAACCTTAATTCAAACAGACATCTTGATGTTAACTTTACAAGGAGTAAAGATGATTTCAACTTCGACAACATTGATCTTTATATTCCAGATGAATTTGAGTGCCTAAATGACAACATTGGTTTTTCCCTTGTTAAGCAAAAGAAGAAAAACAATAACCACAATTCTGGCAAGAAGACATACAAATATCACTCCAGTGGCTCCAACAGGAATCCTGTTAATTCCAATCTCCAACAGTTAATGGTCCCAAGTAGCAGATATTCTTTAGAATCGTGCAATGTTAAAAAGAGCAACAACACCAACAGTAGTGGCTTGAAGGCTAAAGGTAAAAGCATTAAGATTGGGTTAACAGATGTGTTATCAAATGGTTTCTGTAGTGATAACTCGCTCTTCGATGATGATGGCTGTAAGGGTGATCAGAATGGCGATGATCAGATGAATTGTGATATAATCAACAACAGAGTTTTCACATCATCAGCTAATGTCATTAATGATATTATAAATCCCCACACTACCAACAAAAGTCATGTTAATGATGATGATGATGATGAAGATGAAGAAGAAGAAGATGATGATAGTGACAATAATTTTAATTTGGTTAATCGTGAGATGTTGTCAGGATCATTTGAAAGCTGCCTCTCTTCAATGTCGAGTGTTAGTTCCATTTCCAATAACTGTAGCAACGCTGGTGTCAGTAACAACTGCAGTGATAACATCTGCCACAATAGCTTCATTCCTTGTAGTAGGGCTAGAAATAATGATAATACAGAATATAGCTCTAATGATAATGTTGTTTTCACAAAAAATGTTACTGGCCCCACTACCAACTTGACATCTGCTACCAACAAGCACTTTTCGGTAACTTCCTCCAGTTCACTTGACAATACTAAGTATTCCAGATCAATTCATTGCAGATCTTCCAATTTCTCTTGTCACTCATCACAAGTTGTGAATAATGATAACAATGATAACATCTTCACTGAAGATGCCAGTGAAACTAAGGGTAGTAAGCTGGATGTTCTATCATCGTTTTGTGATAATATCGACATCACATTTAAGACTTCATTACATTTGACAACTAATACCACAGCTTTCACAACTTGTTGTTGCTCAACTGTTTCGACAACAAATAGTACAAATTCACAACAAAAAACGGATTTTTTTAACACTCAACATAAACTCTTGTATGCACCACTCGATGCAGATTTTACTTTTGGTGATTTTGCAGCTAATGTACTTGTGACAACATCTTTAAATTATGTTAATCCCATTAGCACCTCCACCAAAATTTTTGCTAACACTTCTAATCAAAACATTCTTAAACCATCACCACTTTCTAATGTTCACAGCAGTTTTACAAATTTCTCTACAACTTCAGACAACTCAACCCTACAAACATTCCTTACAACATTAACCTCAGTCCTATCCAATACATGTTCAACAGCCACTCAACCAATATTTACAGCTCCAAATAATTTTATCAATTCCCGGTTTGCTATTATGAATGATGACAGTGTAACAAATTTCAGCAACAACTCCACTTCAACTCAGACGACAACATTTTCTCTGACAACCTCATCATTTACATCGCTAGTGTCATCACCAACAATCTCAGTTAAGAAGTCATTAGCAACACACAAATTACCTCCAGTTGAATTTCTCTACAGTTCTTATGTGCCATGCAGCAATTTTGATGTAACATTTGGATCTGGTCTGGAAGATTTAGTGAAAGAGATGAAATTGATTGATGAGATTAACAACAAAATGAATTGTATCAGTTGTCATAATTTTTCTGAAAACAATTTGAAATGTGACTCAAATGATGTTGATCAAACATCAATTCCTTCTATTTTACCCACTGTTGTCACATCGAAACAAGATCTGCAGATGAGTTTGAATGGGACATCATGTTTATACAAAGATGTTAATTTTAACACAAAGACAGACTGTAATAATTCAGATTCATCTGTAATGAAAACATCTTTATTAACCACCGTTGCATTAGCAAATGTCCCAACAGAGAAATTTCCACTTAGCAATGGATTTGTTAAAGATATGATGGTCAGTGGGAACAAAGATTTGTCATCATCATCAGTAATGATATTAACTTTGCCTCAAACAGTAATAACCATATCATCATCAGTGACGTCATCAACATCATCATCATCATCAATGACCTCACCATTGTCATTAGCAGCAGAAAATAAATTGTTGCAGAATGTTGTTGGTGACCTCCACAAAATGGATGAGTTGGATGACTGTTTCACATCTCTCCTCAGCAGCAACAACAAAAATATTGATACAAGCAACTATGTTACTGATAACAAAGCTGTTAATATCAACAACCTCAATGCTGCTTTTAACTCTAGTGACAGCAGGATTGCTAGCAACATTACTAGCAACAAAAACAACATTACTTGCAGCAACAACAACAACATTACTTGCAGCAACAACAATGCTACTAGCGGCAACAAGGATGTTGCCAGCAACGTCATCCACAGTGGTAACAGTAAAACAACTAATGGAAATAATTTCAAAAGCAGTAACAGTTTCATGCAGCCAAGGTCTGAGAAGAGTTTCAACTTGACAGCTGCCCAGAAGTTTCTTCATGACAGTTTGTAATCTTTTTTTCATACATTTTGATATTTTTGTCAAAAAATTAATTAGTTAATAATGAAATCATTAGTAGCATTTAAATTTTAATCTTCTTCTTTTTCAGCTCTAATAGGCTAATCTTTACGCTTTTGGTTCCTGTTGATTCTATTTTTTTCTTCTTTTTTCTTTCTTCTTTTTTTTCTTTCCTTTCTATGTATTGATTTAAATTTTAATCTATTGATTTATTATTGGATGGCTGTTAATTTTTATTATTAATTATAATTCCAACAGGTTTTCAGAAGTCTTATAATCTGTATATTGCTAATAGGCCAACACAACATACTGCCCATACCGTGGACGATAGTGAGCCAAAGATGTTCAACAAAAAGTAACTAAAAATTAACTGCAGATAACAATTTTCTCCTAACCCACTTCACGCTGCCATGCCATACTGTCCAGATATGTATAATCTACTGTGTACTGAGGTCATTATAAATAATTCACCTCATTATTTTTTATTGTATATTTATGATAAATAAAATGATTGTTGCTGTTTAATTGAAGTTTAAACACTACCACTGACAGTCTAGTTAAATACTGATATCCTAATAGCAATAGTCACATTAAAATAGCAGGCTATTATTGATAAAATATTATAAAATTGAACCGAAGCATATGTTATTGATACACGTTAAGGTTGTCTGTTGAAAGTTTCATGTCTGGTGTTTAGAAAGCTTATTATTAACGTAAGAATATAATGTTTAATATAAGGCTTGAAGTATATAATGTTCCTTATCAAGTGATGAGTGGTTTTGGTTGCTTTTTGGTTGGTTGTTTGCTGGTTATGTTACACTTGCATTTGTGGCTAGCGATTAACAAACTCATCTAATTAAGTACATTGTGATGTTGTACCTTTACAATTTTTTAGTTTAATTGTAAAAAAATTTATTCAATTAATTGTGATTATAAGTACATGAGGCATTCTGGATTACATTCATTACTGCATAAAAAATCATAACTAACTTTCATGACGTGTTATGAATATTTTATTTATGTTATACAGTTTGCTATCATTATTAAAATTATTTTTACTGGTTCTTCAACGGATTGTCAAAGTTTACAGTTTAAATAATTTTTTAATACTACCAAAAAACATTATGGTTATTATTATTATTATTATGTTATTGTTATTATTATTATTGTTATTATTATTGTTGTTGTTATTGTTGTTGTTATTATATTTAGCTAGGCAGTAATTTGGTGTGTGTATGTGTGTTTGTGTACACGTGTTTGCTTCTGTCTTTATATAAGAATGTTTAAATTGTTTGTTTGTGTGTGTGTTTGTTAGAAAATAGTGACTTTTGAATATAAAACTCATCAAAAAATGATACTTAGTTATTTGACTCACTGACATGTAAATAGTTGATTGGTGGTATTGGTGGTGCTGTACTTTTTATTATTTATTCTTCAAAATTATAAAATTACATTTTATACAGTGCACCCCATGGTAAATGTTGGTGATTATTGTCGTTAAATAATTATTATTGCTAATGACGCATTTGACTTATCATTTTATCATGTTATCATTTTTTCTGCATGAAATGAATTGAATGATGTGATATGGTAGGTATTGAATGATGTGATAGGTAGATGGATATTTGGGTTAATAGATAAATGAATGGATGGCTAAATGGTGGTTGTTTGTATTGAAATCGCTTATGTAGCACAATAAGGAAACAAGGTCAAAATGTTCACACATAATTTTAGCTGTTGCTTATAATCTAGAAGAATTATTAATATTTTTGCCATTTCTCAATTACACCATTTTTTATATTGTTCACTTTTGGTCAATGTTTTTTTGGAGTTTCAAATGTTATAGTTACAATGGCTAACCAAAAAGAAAATATTTGATTTTGTTATAAGTATATAAGTATAAAATTTATATTTTTCATCATCTTTAAAAAATATGCCCTGATCAAAGGCAATTTTGGGAATTCGATGTCTTCATGGATTTGTTACTTTCATCCTCAGTTGTTAAGCTCTTGCAAGCCTTTCTATCTTGCATCCATCTCTTATCCTGATTTAGTCTGCTCAGGTTTCTCGTCATCCCATTAAACAAGTTTTTTAGTTTTTATTTTCTTTGGTCAATTTAGTCATTTTCAAACCGGCCAAAAACAAGCAACAAAGCCTGGAAAACAATCTTAAAAAACTTAAACTTTTCTTGGTATATTTAAATACTCAGCCCAACTTTTTTTTTCCAAAAAATCATCTCTAAGTTTATCATTTAACATTTTGCCTTTCCATCTGCATTTCCATTTTCAACTTTTTCAATCTTTAACCGTGTCTACCACTCGTCTTTTATGCTTACTACTCCTACACAGCATGCATGCATAAATATGTAAATGAGTAAATAAATTTGTATAAATTATATAAATTTCGATTTATTATTCTTATATACATTTGTATGGGCTGTTGGTGGTGGAACGATTTTATTTCAAATTAATCCGATCAAAATGTTTTTCATTTAAATTTGTTAACTTGAAAAAAAGTTCAACATTTATAATCTTAATCCGTTGCCATAACAGAATGCTTGATGCTTCATATTATTTTGAATTGGGTACTGAGCAGTCAGTGCATCATCAGATGAATGCTTGCTGCTTGGTTGGTCTTTACTGTGTCGTTATCACGAAGAAGCTTCCATTAAATCCCGTTCACTCTTCCAACTTGCATTAGGTTTACTTTTTACTTGACACCACATTAATAAATTACTAATACTAATCTTATTTCTGTTTTTGGTTGATTTTCTTGGAACCTATTAATTGTGTTTCAAATATTTTGATTAATTTATTAAGTGAAAATAATAAATTAACTATTATTGATTTATTGACTTTTCTATTTTTATTTTAAATTGTAATAAAGTTTCTTGATATAAACCATGAACTGCACGTTCTTTCTTGTGCATGCGTGTTTGGATGTATGAGGATGGTGTGCTGGAGGGTACCAACTGTTTATACACATATTAAGCTTATGCATCGTTCAAACTATAGAATTAAATTTATTAAATATATTAATATATTATACATGTATAACACTTACACAGTCAACTGCAGAAATATTATTGGGCAAGCACACAAATGATGCATTTGAATATATCTTTCATTGTAATTGTTGTAGCATAAACTATCATACACACAATTATTTTCCGCAAGCACCTCCCTCTCTGTTGACATATATTTATATACATGCGTTTAAACGAACTGCATGTATGTAATGTCTACTTGAACTTATTAGTACTATTTTAAATGGAGTATATTTATCATTATTTCATTGTGAATCAGTTCAACTGGAAACGCTTATAAATCTGAGTTATCCAATGTTTATCTTGTTTTTCGTTCAAAACACATACGCATACCAACGTACGCACACACAAACACACACATATATAGACACTGTATATTATATATGTATATAAATAGACAAGTATATGCTATATATTTACAATTAATAGTGTGCGTTTTTGTCTGCATACAATTGTTGTGTACGTATATATATATATATATATATATATATATATATATATATATATATATATATAAAATTTTGATTAAGATCACAAAATCATGTTATAAATCGATTCCTTCTTTTGAATCGTTAGATTTCAAGTTTTTCTGCGACCGTGATGTTTTCCTTGCAATTATGAAATCATTACGATTGTTAAATGGAAGTTAATTTTGTATATGTCGGATTTATGAAGGATAAGGAGAAGCAGTGATACATTCCCTTACTGCTGTCAGCCTCGGTTGCTTGAACCTCTCTGTCTCATTCATTCACTCTAGCTTTTTTGGTCTGTACTGTCCAACAACATTTTATCATCCAATCCATCTATCCAGATCAACTCGCTCTTTGTATTTGTTTGTCCTGCTAAGACCTTGACGCACTGAACAGGACTGTGGCATAGGAAGCGATTGTTATTATTTTTCTTGTGTATTTATATTATTGGTTGAAAGAAATTTATTTAAAGTGATATTTATTTGCATATTTTACAGGTTCGCACTCCTCTGAAATTATCTAAATAATTTTTTTTAATTTGTTGATTGTCACTGGTAATAAATAATTTATGAAATGTTTTGTAGATCTTAAATTATTTATTTTGTTAAATCACGTAAAAAAATTATATTATTTATTAAGGTTGCCAATTAAAAATAAGAACAACGCCAATGACAGTGAATGTACTTTTGAGTGTTTTATTTTTTTATTTAACACTTTAATCTAAGTACAATCTTTATATTAGTTATTTTTCCACCATATGGTTCACCATAATTATTATTAGTATATGTTTTGTTTAAATAATTATCAGATGGGAATTATTGCGACGTCGCAATCTGTCGCGTCCGCCCATCTTTTCTCTTTCTTTTGTCTCTTTCACTTTTTCCTTTGCACTTCAAATTTTCCGTGAAATATAAGAATCCTGTGTATATTCGAGTAAATAACGTCGTCATCTATCAACTTATCGTAGGTATGTTTATCTTAACAAGCCTTACTGTGCGAGGCTACCTAGCACATGTAATGTACTAGTACTAACTAATTTGCAACATGTCACCACAACTTCATGTGACCAATTAATGCTAATTTTAATGTGCATATGTCTGTATCTGCCATCTCTCTGTTGATTCGCATCTGAACTGCGTATGTGCATTTCAGTGTTAATTAATGTTTCAGGCATTTAACGCTAATATATATATATATGTGTGTGTGTGTGTGTGTGTGCGTGTGTGTGCGTGCGTGTGTGTGTTTGGTGTTTGAAGGAGACCATATTTTGACCGAATTGTTGGCTATAGTCAATTTAAAGTTTGACTTTTCAATTTTCTTTACTAGATTTTTTTGGAAATTGTTCAATTTATTGAAAATAGAATAATTATCAAAGTTCATTATGAAAGTTTAATAGAACTGTTGTTATCTAAATTTATCATGCGGATAGCCTTATTTCAATTTTTCACAAATCATGCAGAGCACTGAAGGTGATTTGTGAAAAATTGAAATTCACTTATATGAATTTGGATAACAACAGTTTTATTAAATTTTTAAGAGGAATTAGGATAATAATTCTATTTTCAATAAATTGAACAATTTCCAGAAAATTCTTGTAAGGAAAATTGAAAGGACAAACTTTAAATTGATTAATGCCAACAATTCGGTAGAATTCATACAATACTATATATGTATATATGTGTGTGTGTATATATATATATATACACATATATGTATATATATATATTTTAGTGATATATATATATATATATCACTAAAATGTCAATCATGTTAATGTTTCTAACCTTTATCGCTAGTATTCTTTTAATTAAGAATTTTTTTTATTTGAAAAAATGGTCGTAACTATAGTTTTGCTGTTATCGCTGTTTTCCTTTCCCTTTTGTGGAAGATTTAATAATTAAGACATCGTTGTTGTTACCTTAATAAACTTTGATTGTAGTTGACTATTCTATAAAACGGCTTCTATTTTTCTGCAGGTATGTCTGCTCCAGTTTGATTGTACATCACGTATATATACGAATATTTATGTAAGAAATCTTTTTATTTACTCTTATTTAGATATTTATGTTTTGTGATGTATGTGTATAATATATATATATATATATATATATATATATATATATATATATATATATATGTATAAATATACAGTTAGAGTTTGCACTAACGCACAAAAACACAGAAATATATATATATATATAATATATATATATATATATATATATATGCTGTAATTTATATAATCTATTGATTTTCTAGCGCTGGATATTTTTTTGTTTTTAATGTAACAAAAAAACTATCCAATGCTAGAAATTCGGTACATTTTATAAATTACTGCATTAATTATGGTCTTTTACCAGCATATATGCATATATATATATATATATATATATATATATATATATATATATATATATATATATATATATATATATATTCCATGTGAATGGTCCCTTTACTGTTTACATATAGAGAGATATGTTCATTGAATGCTATTAAGCTCGCATGCTCATTGTCTCCATCTATAATCGTCTGTTTATGCGTATATATTAATTAATTTGAATATATTATATTATTATTATTATGGAACACATCATAAATTTTAGTACTCCAAGTAGTTGCATTATTCAGTGTACATAAATGAAACATTTACCAAGATCGGCTGTTTTGTATTTTATTTTCCATGTAAACTAATCTGATGTGTAAATTTTTGATTCTCAAAATAATTTTCAGCATAATATAAAAAAATCGAACGTATAAAATAATGAAAATGGAATCAATTGAAATTAAGAAAACAGAATCAACAAATAAGCATATAAAAATATTTGCACATGAACATAGTGATAACTTTAAGAAATCAAATGAATTATAATACATAACTAAATCTATAGATGGAATGACCGCGTTTCAAGTTTAACAATAATGATGAACTATTAAAATATGTATTTATAAGCAGGCAAAATAGAATGTTAGCACTCGTATATGAACGGATGTTTGTAAGTTGATTGATCATCAAATCTCATCATAAACGTAAAAAATATTAACAAATGAACAAAAAACAAGTGTCATCATTTGATCATCTAAAAAGTTAAAGAGAAATCGTTGTATAAATCAAATGATGAATAAATAAGACGACAGAATATGCAAATCGTGATAAAATACAATCCTCATCAATCAACTGTGCATTGATTTCTTCAAGTAATAATGAGGCATTCAACCAATCAAAACACATATTAACATAACATAATTATATATTACGTTAAACAACTCAAAAACGTGTAAAGTTCTTAATAAAGTTGAAAAAAAATTTCTTTGGTTCAATACGGAATAAATATAAGATTTTAACGTCCGCCCTTTCAAGCGCACGTGCATACAATTAAAATTCAAAATGAAACAAACGATGACTCGTTGTTTAAAAATTACTCATACAGTCTTGCAATCGATATTATGGATGACAAAATATTGGAATATGACGGTTTAAAAGAAGAATTGGAAAAGGATGTTCACTTATCAAATAATATCGTTTGGTTTGATGACAAATTTGGATTTAATTGGGTTGACAAGGCTTGATGAGATTCGTCCAACAAATTGTCATAGCTGCGACTATTACTACTTCTTTTCACTGTTAACAATTTAGTGATTCATATAACAAACATGAATGGTTACTATCTGTACAATTTTCTTAACAATATTCGTCAAAATATAATTACATGCTTGGCTTTCGATTGAACATTTTTAATAGAATGTTTACAGCCTTTATTGGAAACAAAACACAACGAAACATTCATAAAAAACAAGCTAGTCCACCTTCTGAAGTTTTGTTTGCTCCCTCGTCAGCGTAACTCGAAGATTTTTCCTGTAGATGATTTTAAGAGAATTAAAAATTAAATAAATTTCAGAACACTGCAAACTTTGACTTAAACGGAACTAACATAATTGTCTAGATTGACTAACAGTAGGGAACAACGAAGATGAATTAATATCGTTAGCATCGTTCTGCTGTAACATATTATAGCTAACCTCCAATAACTTATCTTCATCATCACGATTGTGTTGCCGACATTTCATTGGAGTGCGGGCCGGCGAACTCATTTGAGCCTGCTTGGATCTGAATGGAGCCATCATCTGACTTATACCTTCGGAACTTTTGAAAATGTGACCAGTTGATTTTGAGGCACACTTCAACTTGCGTACTGAAAATCAAGAAACATAAATAATTTGTCGTTTCGCACGATTTAGTATATAAAACAAACATCAAGGCGTATTAAGGGAAAGTTTAATGGAAAAAACAAGTTTGCACAGTTTGTACACTACTAACATCTACAGGGGTCATGTTTGGTAAGAAATTCATCCAGGGCCATCCACCCACCGCCCACTCTCACCATCACGCAACTTCTTTGAATTCGTACCAAGTGCAACTTCTGAGATTCTCCAAACTATAATTTTAAATTAAATTTGGAGTTTTAATTTGTTAAACCTTATAATATTTAGTCATGAAAATAAAATTTCATTTATCGATCAATCAATCAATCAATCGATCGATCAATCAATCAATCAATCGATCAATCAATCAATCAATTAATTAGTTTGCAGAGCGCTATTTCCGCGATATATAAGAATATTTGCATAAATAACAATTTTTCAAAACCATCTCCAGTAGACTCCAAATTTAAAACTGGAAAAACAAATAAACAAGTGGCCTGATTTCTTTCGTGATTTTATTTTTGTACGGATTTTTAAAAACAAAAATGATTTGACCTTGTACTTGCCCTCGTCAACTTTGTTGATGAGGAATCTTTTGTCGCAACAGCACCTGTTGAACTGTCTGTCCATCTCATCGTCCATCCTCTCGTCCTTGCTCATGCCTGCTTGCTGCAACAATCACAATTAATTTTCTTTGATGGCTTCACTTTTTAAATTGTGTTCATATTATTTGAAAGTTAGCGCACAAAATTACAATGCCACTACATATAAAAAAACTTTTTTGTTCATTTTTTTTATTAACAAGAGTTTTGTTAAACAAAAATTGAAAGCAGAAGAACGGGTGAACCAATGCAACAGCTGAATAAATGGTTTTGGTGTTTTTCAGGCTTGGCTTGATGGCATTAATGAAAAGCAAACAAATTGGTTGGGAGTAAGAGTAATAATAGTAAAAATAGTAATAGTAGTAAAAATAGTAGTAGTAGTTGTTGCTATAGTAGTAGTAGTAATAGTTTAGTAGTAGTAGTAAAAATGTATTAGTGAAAATAGTAACAATAATAAAATAATTATTTGTTTGCATGAAAGGCTTATTAAAAGAGTCTAAAAGTTATAGCAGCACCAGCTGTGATAATTGATCAAAAGATAAAAACACGTGATAGCGTGCACTGAAGTGAGTGTGACAAATATTTATTATTAGCAGTAGTTGCTGGTAGATAATTATTATTGTGATCGTGACAAATTCTTTTCATAAACAAACCAAACCTGCCAAGCATAATACATAACAAGCCCAACCATTCATTCTAAATCATCTCTCTGGTTGTTTAACGAAGCGCTGACAACTGAACAAGTAAAAACTAGTAATAACATTCATATTTGTCATTCAGTCATCAAATTATCTCAGCAGGATGAAGATTTAAACATGACAGATAAAAAAAAGAAAAATAAATTTCATCTATTTTAGCAAATTTATTTATGAACGTAATTTGATAGCCGCCGAAAGAACGGACAGACAAAAGAAGAGATAAACAAACAATGAACAAACAAATAAATATAACAATAAATATATATAACAATAAACTAATTATTAATAATAATAAAAAAAATACCAGTCCGCCATCTTGTATACACAAAAATCGCCACATTTCACCATAAAAATATTTAATTATTTAATACATATAACCAAATGTAGCAACAAAACCAGCAAAATTGGCGTGGTCAGAAGATTGATGTGGGGCTTAAATTCGCTAATAAAACAGTTGGCGCCATTTTTAACTTTTGTAGTCAATTTCGCCACTAAAACCAGTCGTTTTGGTTTTATACAAAATTTTACATAGCTTTATTGTTGTGGGGGCTGAAACAGTTTCCAGTCCAAATTATCACTAATTTATTTGGAGATTTTGCTTCGGAACAGCAATAAGAATTATGACTTTAGCAAGCAGACAACAGCAATAAAAATATTTCATTACTCGCTCCATTTCTTCATTCTTCAAGCAGTTGACGAACTCTTTGTAGTTGATCTGCTCGTTCTTTTCAAGCAGATCCGCCACGGCCTCAACTTTCAGGTAGGAGGTTGGCATGCCTAGTCGAATATTCATTTCATCATTTATTTCTTCATTCACTTATTCATTCACTCATTCATTCATCTATTCAATCATTCATCCATTTTACTACATAGTTAGTGAATGTAACAAATTAGTTAGTTCATTAATCCATATACAAAGTTATTACTCAAAAAGCTAAAAAACATCATTGAAAACGTTTCTCTTCCAGCTATTTGCGTAACGTGTAAGATCAATAGTAGAATTATTAAAAAATAGTATCTTATTTAATAACTCTTAACCATTGGTCATCTTCATTCAGTAGAACGCACCCGTTTTGAGGATAGCATCCACAAAATCCTTCCTGGACACGTGATTAGTGATGTTTCTATCATATTTTCTGAAGGAAGTCAATATTTTGGACGTGTTCCTGTTCATCCAGCTCAGGAACTCCTCCATCCACTCATCCGGATTGAAGTTCTTCATTTCTTCCACCTTTCATGAATTCAAATCTCATTTATTCATCCAATAGTTATTTCAATTACCGAAAGGTGAGAAACACTACAAATTAGCTTATTAGAGTTTTTAGTTGTGAAATCTTGTTACTAAATATAATTTATTCAGGAGAAGCCTACTTTAATAAAAGATAAAAAATTGACAGTCAAACTTTGTTAAAACATTTGTAATGTTAAGTCCTAAAAATGAAAAAAATAATTTACTCATTAGTCAATTCATCTAACAAGCGTCATTCGATCCAATCCATCTCTCACTTAACTAGTTGATTTAAATACTTATTCATTCATTCACTCATTAATTCTTTCTTTCATTGAATGATTGATTGATTGATTGATTGATTCATTCATTCATTCATTGATTCATTTATTCGTGGGACCACCTCATTCAAATTGTCGATGACATCTTGAAGTTTCCTCCTCCTGTCCATCACCATCAGCCAAACATGTCTCCACTTGTCAAACAGTGCCATCTTTTGAACTGTTTTGCTCTTGAATTGTTGCTCAGATGTCTGGTTGGTCGGTGGCTCACTTGAGGACCTCGTGATGATCAAATAATTATTTATTTATTAATTATTGGTGCAATTTTAACAATGTTGATCTGATATAATCCATCGTAAAATAATCTCATCCACTTTCAAAATCGTTGAAACTCACTTGTTTCTTTTCACTGTTTGTTGTTTCATGTTTTTTGTCAGTCGATCAAAATCTTCCTGTCTCATGTTCATCTCCATCTCCAACAACTTCAAGCAAAATTTATAACAGCAGTTGTACATAAACAGCCACATAATGATATTCATCAGGAAATTTCAGTTTATTTTATTAAAATGCCCAATCAATGGGAATAAGTATAAGAGTGATGATCATTGATTTTAGAAATCAAGTTATGTGTTACAGTGACCTGCTTCCAGAGCAAACAGATCTCTGCAAATAATACCTATGCTTACTTTTTATACGTGCACTCAAAGTCAATTGCATGCTCAATACGTACATAAAAATAAACTTTGCATCAGAACAACAATTAAGAATGCTGGTTTTTATTTGCTTGAAAAATAAAATAAAATCCAAAAACCTCAAAATCTTGAAACAACTGTTCAACAACGGGTAAACTTTCGACAATTGGTTGACTATTATCAGCTATCAGCTTATTTTCAGTTTCTAATAACCATTGATACAACTGTTCCAGTTGGTGGGAACTCGACCGGGCGTCATCCAATAAGCTTATTAATTGCGACTTCCTCTGTTCTGACTGGCTGATAACATCCTGCCATCTGTGCGATAGTTCAAAAAAATGTAAACCACATCAATAGAGAAATTAAAAGTTGCAAAATTACAAAAATCGAAAAAATCCCAAAAACTATAAAAACAAATAATTGATTGATCATTATCAATAGAAGGTATGTTATCATGTGCCACAGACAATTCAATAACCGTTCTTGAAACAGTGTGATCCAATCAGCGAAAGATTGTTTAACGTCCTCGCTGGCATTTTGTTGGATGTAGTTGCCGAGACGCAGGCACTTCTCGTACTTCTCCAACTGCTTCTCTATCTCAGATTCGACAACCTGTTATTTAAAATATTAGAAATATTAATAGAAAGATAATAACACTAACAGATAATATTAATAAGTGTATTACAATAAGATTTTTTGTACAAAATTCCTTCCATCTCTTGGAAAGTAATGAAAAAAATAATGATTTTCATAAAAGGAGTATAATTATGTTTTAAAAAGGCATTAAAAGTACAAGGCACTTATAAACACTTGGATCCAAACGCAATGTCAGTGAGGTAAACAAGCTAGTTATTTTTTATCATCTATCCCGAGAACTGTCACGACTGAATAATACTGCGCCCAAAACAAAAAAAAACAAAGCGAATAAAAAATTAGTTATTACCTCTTCGTGTTCCATTATTTTTTTGGTAATTTTTTCTTCATCATCGTCGTTTTCTTCATCACCATTATCATCTTCGTCGTCATCATCTTCACTTAGCGAAATCAACTTGCCGCTTATATTGTCCAACCAATCAACCATATCTTCTGCTAGCTCGTTGAATTCATGCGCCTGGTTTCAATAATGATTAACGAATTTAAATAAAAAATTTATTACATTGCGTTGCAGTTGCAGCTAGAGATGACCAATGCTAACACAAAACTTATTTAGAGGTGTGATAAATTAAACTGCGACGAAGCAAAAAAAATATTAAAATTTCAGTCTTTCAAATAGTAGACTACAAACAGTCGTTTGAATGATTTTGTTATCTAGGAAATAGGAGTAAAAATTGCGAAATGTATGAGAAGGTGACGGGTTAGATTGTTAACACCCCCCAGTCAGTATGCCAAAAACATGAATGAAGACAATTTGAAGTTACGAAAGCAGTGCTGCTCACAACTTGATGGATGCCGTGTTAGCGTGCTAATCAGAGTAAGTAAAACTTGGAATGAATGAAATGATCCGAGCTGCAAATGACGGAGACAAGCGAAGCTGTAATAAACACTGGATTTTATTAGGAAAGTGTGGTAGGACGAATTGGTTAATGAGAATAAATATAATTTAAGATGCCAAAGTAGAAGTAAGAAAATCGCGCTATTGAGGTTCAAGGGAAAACACTGCTGAAATTAAAGGACCAATCGTTAAAAAAAAGAAAATTAAGATAATAAAGAACGCTATGAAATATTTGATTAAGAAAAGAAAAATTAGGCATTTTATAATTTAATGAACTAAATTTTGAAATGACGATGATAGTTAGCGCAGGTAGATGTTAAAAATATTTAAAAATAAAAAAAATACAATTATTTGGCGAATATCAGTAAGAACATTACAATAAAATTTCAATGAGAAGAAGCAGCAAAAATATTTGTTATCCATGACGAACCTTGACCAATGCGCCGGTCAGTTCAGTGTGTTTCTCGTTACAGAGCTTTTCAAGAGTGTCGAATTTGTTTATTAGTAACTTTACGTTATTGTTTAATTTCATGATTTCACCAATATCCTCGTCGTAGCCATCGTTACAAGCACCGTTTTCGTTAATTTTTTCATTGAGCTCATGATGCAAAGCAAATAGATTAGCATTCATGTTCCTTACGTTTATTGTGAAATTCTGTGAAAAATGAAATTATTCTGATTATTGATTGCCGTGTAGAAATGAAATGAATTTGCTAGAAAAGGTGAGGCGTAGACCAATTTGGAATATGGCACCTTTGATGCTCTATATGCTTTATATGGTAAAGAATAACACATTATATGGTAGCAACAGCAGGCTGTTTTAGTTGAAATAATAAAAAAGCTAAAATGAATCAATCAACTTGAAGTTCTGATTGGTTGATTAAAATGGTTTAATCACATAAACAGACAGAAGAGAATTGGGTAAAGAAATGCGGATATATGAAGATTAAGATAAAGGACTCAACCGAATCAACTGCATAACACAATCGGCTTTTGGCAGTGGAACTCCTAAAAAAGACCAGAACACATTAAAAGGTTGAAAATCCGACTGTTTGTTAGTTCATGTCAGGCAAAGCGTGAGTTAAAGGATAAATGTGATGAGGCCGGTGACGAGCTCCTCATGGAGACACTTAAATAGAAACTAACATTGTTTTGATCAACCAGCTGCTTGACATAATTATAATCTCCGTGGTATTTGTTTTCTTCCTTCATCATGTTATCGTATTCGTCATAAGTCCAAGTAGTCATAGCGTGGATGATGTGGCCGGTGTCATATGTCTGTGGATCACTTTGTTCCTCTTCAGATAGTGTTTTGAAAGACTGCTGCAAGTACTTGCTACTGCTGTAATCAATGAAAAAAAAAATTTTATCACCCGCCTATTATAAACATGTTCGCTGCGTTGTTTGCAGTTTGTTATATGCTGCGCAAGAGGTTTTATAAAAAGTGTATTATGGTTATAAGTTATATTATTCTCATATTATGAATGTCAACTGCATCTTATTAAGATCTTTTAAAAAATTTTTACTTTCAAACATTATAGATAATAATGTTTTGTTTTAAACTAAATAAATTTTTATAAAAGTGAAATATTCAGAGAAGCCAAATGTTTATAGCACGGTTGAGAATAATGAATTGACAAAATGATGAAACTAACGTGGCGCCACATAATTTGAGCCAAGCGTTGTTAACCTCACCCATCATCATCATCATCTCCTCTTCAACTACTTCATCCCTTTTTTGCAAATCCACCCCATCAATTTTGTTAGCATCAAGAGCATTTGCTTTGACGACGATGTCATCATCATCAGTATCAGCCTCAAAGAGATTTGTATTTCCATTTAGACGGTCGTGTGCATGGCCTAACTCGCTGGTTCCTGCTGAAGTTGTGGACTGTGATGGCGGTGATAATGTTGATGGTGATAAACGGCTTACGGATGATGAAGGTGAAGATGACGGTTTCATATCCAAACTTGCAGTGGCTATAGATAATAAGGGAGAGGTTGTTGGTGGTTGAAATGATGACGTGGATTCGTTTGTGGTTTGCATGGTAGCGTCTGTTGTTGCTTTAATGAATGATGTGGTCATCGTCGTTGCTTCAGATGTTGAGGCACCAGTTTTGGCGGTTGCATCTGTTGACGTCGATTTTGTTGAACTTTTTGTTCTCATACCTGATTGCTGCCTCAAGAGTAACTTTAAATTTTCAATATTCTCAGCTATTTTTGACTCAAGATGCTGCCATTTCATATGAACATCATTTAATTTTTTGTTAATTTCTGACCAGCAGGGGGTATCTGGATCACATTGTCCTAATAATATTTGACCTTTCTCCATGAAGATGTCGTATTTCAAACGTTCCATGTCTAACTCACCCTTCAATAACTAACAAACAAAAGAAAGAAAGTTTTTGATTGTAAATTCTGTAAAACAATTTTATATGGAATTAGTTTTGTAGTTTATGAACCTAAATGTCTATTATATCAAAAACATTGTTTGTGATTGGACTAAAACTCATTGTAGAATGCAGATAAAAATGATAAAATCAAATAAATTTAAAAAATCAACCTTCAAACGCCTACGCCAAACATTACGTAATAACATATCAACAAAAACAGAAGGGTAATTTAATAACAAAAACTCACATTAATCTGCCTCAGTTGTAGCTGCAGCACTTCTGGCTTTTGAAAGTCTTCAATGGTCAACACATCCTCCTCTTCATCTTCCTTTCCATCCTCGTTATAACTTCCGTCATCACGTTGCACTCGATGGTTGCTGCTCACATCTAAAACTTTCATCTTGATGGACATCCAGCTGTTCAATTGGCTGCATATTGATTCGAAGATCTCCATTCTTTCCGCTGAACCTCTCTTCAGCTGTTCCAATGCAGCCATCTTATTTTGCAGGTTCAAGTAATCCACCTCTGAAAATTTCACGAATAAATTGAATTTGTAGTTAATATACAATTTCATTTTTTTAATTTTATTAATTCAACAGAAAAATAGT